TATGTGTAATTGGCATCTGTAGATATTTAATCTCAAGAAAAATTTATAATGAAAAAATGAAAATATTTTCTTATTTCACTAAAGCAATGTTTTTTTTTTTGTTTTTTTTTTTTTAAGGGACACTTTTTATCGCTGGACTCAGATTTGCAGGAGACACCTAATGTAATAGATCAATTCACATGATCCCCGCGAAAATATACTGGTGAAACACTTTGGCTTAAATACAATTCTGAATGAGACAATCATTTTCATAGTTTCTGAGTCTTCCCTTCTTCTCCCTAATTAACCTAAGTCTGCTTTCAAAAATAAACCTTATTAAACAGCGGGAGCACGTGGGAGGATTTTCCTCCGTGCAGCCAAGGAAAACCTGAGTTCGGCAACTCTGCACTCATCCTAATCCTACACTTATCCTAACCCCGTTCTGCAAAAAAGTCCTTGAAAGCAGCACGGGAACGAGGAGCCGCTTCCTTCTCTCCCACCACCCTGTGCTTCCCCCCACCAGCCATTTACCGGTTTCCTGGAGCCTGGATTCGGCCTTAAATTGGCCAAGCTCACACGGGGCAGGGCTCGAAGCAGGTCTAGGGCCTTGGCCCCACCGCCCCGCGCAGGACCGGCCATGACCCCCCAACGCTGGACCCCTGCAAGGACGCCCTGAGCCGCCTCTGGGCACGCGCAGTGGCGCGGCGCTGCTTTACGGCCACGGCCCCGTCGCTGTCGTGCTGCGGCGCCCGCTTCGCGGCAGCGCTTGGGCTCTGGGAGTGGCTTTGGGAAGATTGCAAAGGTTACTCGGGCACCCCACGCTGCACCCTCCTTCCCTGTGGTGCGGGGAAAATGGTAAGTTCAGTTAGCCTTATTCAGTGTGCCTGACAGAGTTGTGTGGTTTTTGTCGTTTTTAGTGAGCTGAACCGGCAAACCTGGTAAGGTCCGCAGTTTCGAGATCTAAGTGGATTTCTCCAGGAGCCGCAGAGCGAGGAGTCAAATTTTAAATGTTTCCAATTAGAAAAATAGTATTTCTTTTAACAAAGTTGAGTAGCTGCAGCTCAAATTTTTATTAAAAAAGCATTTGTTTGTAATGCGTATAATAAAGAAGACCGTGTTCATTTTTCTTTCATTATTTTTGTATTTTCACTACTTGCTGGGAATTTGTTCCTGCTGGTTCCTGTTAGAGATCACAAGTAGTAAAAATGAGAAATAGATTTTTGAAGGGTAGCTACTTCTATGTTTTTGAAGCTGCTTTAAATCAAGTGTAAGGTAACTCAGAACTCTATTTAAGTAATATCAATAAGCAGTATATTGAACCTTTGCTGGAAAACTTAAGTCAAGCAGGTCTTAGTCCCAGGTTGATTGAAGTCTAGTATGGGAGACTTTCCAAAACTGAGTTTTTCTAATTAAAATATATATATATATAATATTTATAAATATATATAATATATATAATATATATATATGCCTAGTAGCATAAATGAAAGAATAGTGCAGCTATATGAGTTTTGTGTACTGAACTTATATATGAAATCCGGATAAAGGTCCAGATTTTATTTAGAAGTACAAAAGAAAATGCAGGAAAAATTGAAGCCAGTTTCTATTTGTAGTACCTGAGCCTGGCAATCACAGGACGTTGGTTTGGGAGACTGGCAAAGGAGAGTCCTGAGCACTCCGTGGCTTTTTCGGGCTTTTCATGATCATCCTACTGCCTGCAGGCAGGCAGGGTTGCTGGGAGGCCAGGCAGAATCTCTGCTGTGTCGGCCTTCTCTGGCCTTGTCTTGTAGCCCTGCCGCTGTCCCTCTCTCCTCTGTGTGATGCATTCTTAGGCTCACCCACACCAGATTCCAGGTGTCCACATCAGGCTGTCTCCCCTGAGCCCAGGCTCCAAGCTCCTTCTATATTTAAGACCTCAGGTGATAGCCAGAGGAGGGCTCATTACAGCCTGACCATCACTTACTCCACTCTGTTGTTAAACGTTTCAATTTGAAATATTTTATCATCTTTTTATTAGAAATTTCATACTGATGGGTAGAAAACTGGAAAGTATATTGCAAAATATGCCCTAATCTTTTGAAAAATTCTTTTTTTTCTATATCTACAAAAACATTGCACTAAGTAGTGAATATCAGGCTGAGTGTAAATACCAATTATGTTTTGGCGTTTTTTTGAGAAAAAAATTATTGAATAAATGAAATATAAGAAATGTTAAACATTGTGCTGTATTCAGTAGTACACATTCTTTGTTGTGTTGCTCATGTCATGTTACTGGCATATGTCAGTCACTGGAAATACTTTGTAGGTAATTGTAGGCTACATTTGTTTATCCCACAACCAACATGTTTGATGGTATGAAATTGACAAAATAATTTGATGTTTTATCTGTGTTGTAAAAACGTAAATTAAAGGTATGTGATAAATAATTTATCTAGCCTTATCCTTAAGCCTATAGAAATTTTACATCATCATTATCATTGCACTGTGCAAAATATTTATTAAATACAATTTGAAGTGTTGTTCTAAATACTGATTAAATGAAGTTGAGTATTTGCAACAAAAAATAACAAACAATGCAAGAGCCATCCTGATGATAGCTCCAGTTAATGGTGACTATAGAATCATAGAAAGAATAAAGTCAACACTGTAAAAATGACAAAATAAGTCCCCTGGGAAGGCATTTTCCTCTCACATTCCCAAATAATCTTCCTCCACCTGTCATAGTGCCTGACAGTCTATCAATATAAATCAGTTACTTTGAGCTCACTTAAAAAAAAAAAAAAATTCTCAAGATGAGTAGAGAATGGGAGTAGGGGGTGAAAATTAAAAGGGATAAATTCATCACACCAGGTACTTTGTATGAACCATAAAGATAATACACTACAAAGTAACTCTGATTGTTAAGGGATCAACAAAACCTCTATGTTCTAAAAAGCAACAAAACAAAGTGAAAACTAAAAACGTACATAAATTTCTTCATCGTATCTCTCTAAATGAAGTGGCACATTGAATATTTTGGCATGGATCAAACAGGAGGAAAAAAGGTATTTGGGTTATTCGATTACTGCTAACTTTTACTATGAAGCAATTACAGTGTTTTTAGAACGGGACCCAGGACAGACTAATCTGTGATGATCAAGCTTGAGGAATGAAAAACAACCCCCTTTCTTTTTCACTATGTCTATTTTGGTAAAGTTGGTTTATAGCACTGTACATATATAGTACAGTTCTAGTGTTAGCGGGTCACAGCTGCCTCAGCGGTGGGAGGGGGCAGGAGCGGGCAGGAGCAGTTATTCTTTCAAACTGCTGCTTCACCACTGGTCAGTCAGGGCAATTGCTCCTGAGCTCAATAACTGCAGCTTTGTAATAGACCAATCAAGTGTGAGCGCTGAGCTGTTTGGTGCTAAATGGTCCAGTCAGACTTGTGGGTGAAAGAGAATATAAACCAGAGTTGGAGGAAGGTTGGGGAACTCCCTAGAGAAGGAGGAGCCCACGAAGGAAAAGAGAAGGGTGGAAGGAAAAGAGAGGAGTCCCGGGAGTCCCGGAAAAGAGAAAAAGGAGCCCGAAAGAGAAGAGGGTCCCCCATAGAAAGATTAAGGAAGGAAAAGAAGGCCCCTGAGAGGAGACAAACTCCAGAAGAAGGGGAAGACTCCGTTCCTGGCCTCAAAAGAATAAAGAAAAGAAGAACCCAGCAGCTACCTTCCAAGGAGGGAAGAGAAGCCTAAGGACTCTGAATCTGACATTGCCTAAAATGAACATCGAAGGTCCCTGGCCTGGTGTCTCAAAGAGCTGTTGTTAGTATAACCCAACAACTCACAAAGAGCTGTTGACACTGGGTGCCTCTGAAAATGCCTCTGCGTGACCATCACTACTGGCCAGTGCTGTCCAGCACTCCTGGTGACAGGTGGCAACCGTCACTGGTGCTATCTGGGTGAGGGAGCCAACCACTTGTGGATACAGTGAGCACTTTGTTTCCCCTGTTTATAAAATAAACCCTATAGTAGTTGTTCCTGGAGCCCTAGATCTCTTGAAGTTGTGCTCATAGGTGAGAACCCACTGTCAGTGACCTGTCCTCTTATCAGGCACTATCCTTTGTTAGGCTGTTGCCCAATAGGCCCCTATTGTGTGGGTGTTGTATTTCTCTGTAGCCCTTGGTTTTGGTTTTTGGCCTTTTGGGGCGTTTTGGTGGTTCTCTGGTCTCAGAGCCCAGGCAGGTGGGCGGCTGTTCCATCTGATCCCCATTTGGCCTCCTGCCTTGTTAGCCATTTGTGTCCCTTTCCACCCCTGTTTCACTAGGGGTGTAGGTTCACACCACTATGAGTATGTATTATACCATTCCCACCACCAGGCCCCCAATAACTCCTCCATTATAGTCCACTGAGATTTTCCTTAATGAGAAAGGAAGCAAGCAGAGGCAGGAGAGCCATTCATCCTGCTGATATTGGGAGAAAATGAATACTGAGCTATTGTAAGGAAAAAGTGAATCAGGCTATTTTTTGCCTTCTACGCAGCAGCGAGCCCATATCTTGAAATGCTGTGTTTTCCACCTTTGAGACATTTAGCAAACAAAAGGATCTTGCATTTGCAACGAGTATTGGTTGTGTGGCTTTGGGCACTAGCCAGGGTAAAGAGGGCAAGCAGAGGAGTTGCTGTTCTGCCTCTGAGAGCGTTGGAGTCTCTCTTGCTCCGTCTGCCTGCTTGTGTATATGGGTCCCTTGTCTAGGCATCTACCTGCAAAATCTACCAAAGGCTCCAGATCCCCTTTTCATCTACAAGAACTGACGATGAACCAACCTGCATGGGAATGTTGCACAGTGGCTATGAAGAGCACCTAGAAATAAATGTCAATTTAATGAAACATACCTAACTTCTCAAGAGTTAGTCCTGACTTAAAAGATTGTCAGTCATAGCCAGTTTTTAATATTATAAAAGTATAGTCATGTGCACATTTGTTAAGAAAAAATCATACAAAAGGGCCTATAAGAAACAGTAATTTTTCATAAGTAATCACTTTTAACTTTTTTTTAGTGATTGCCTCCATACTTACAAATTAAAATGTAACTATTTTATTAGTTTTTGACATTGTGTATTTATTTGTCTTATGATACATGATTCAGACTGTGTGTGTGTGGGGGGGTAGATGAACCAGGGTCTAGACTAGAGGTGCAGAAGGTGAGAGGATTCACCAGAGACAGAGCAGGCAGATCCACTGAAATACACTGCTGAGGGGAACTGTGGGTGAGACAGGAGAGGTCCGCTGTGCCATGTGGGTCAGCTCCCTGGCTGAGTGGAACTCAGGCCGTAGTAGTGATAGCACTGCCACAACCCCTGTACCGCCAGGGAGGACCTGATTTAGACAATTTAACCATTTTCTCCTAGCATTTTAACTCTTCCATGGTAAACAGAAATTGAATAGTATATTTAAGTGAATATTAAATATTTTCTTAGATTTTCAACTTTCAAAATACATATTAGCTCCTTGCTGTAAGATGTAGCGATTGACACATGTAACCTTTCATACTACTTTGACCCCCCTACTTTTCAAATTCTGTTAGCTCTATCATTCCATTATGTTGTCATGGATTATAATATACCTGTACTCTTAAAATGATTATTTCATGTAAATAAGAAACTACAATAATAACTGTTGCTCTCGAGCAATTTTCAGTCTTTCCCTCTTTCTTGGTCACA